TGATCTGAAAATAAAAAGTTGATTTGAGGGTGTAATTGATTACACATTTGTAATAATCTATTATCACTATTGTGCTAAGGCACATTATGTTTTATTTTTTAAATACCCATCACATTTTTATTCCATTTTTAAATATAACTAAGGGTAAAAATAATTCAGAACATGTTTTGAATCCCAACAACAATAATTTTTTTTTTTTTTTTAAAGTAGTTTTTTTTTTTAATTTTTTTTTAATTTTTAAATTAATGGTCTATTCCTCCTGTTATTAGATAATCATAATTTTATTATAAAAGCACTCGTTACTTAGACTTTATCATAAACTTAACTTACATGTAATCGCTCCAATGACCATTTCAACTATCCATTGATGTGTATAATGAGGAGTTTTCATGGCGTCCTTCGTGTTGAGAAAAATATAACAAGTGTGAGTTGGAGTCCCACATTGATTATAAATATGGAGAGTTGAGTATTTATAAGTGGGAGAACACATACACCTATCCCCTTAAGATTTTAGGTGAATATGTGGTGTCTCTCTCACTTGTGTTGCTCTTGTTCCAATATTGATGCTCCTCCTCATACCCCAACACTTCGTTGCCTCGCCTCTTTAACCAAGGTTAAATCAACTTCGCGTCCAAGGTTAAATGTGTTTTTTATAGTAGCGCAGTTACAAAATTTGTGATGCCAAACGGGTATCCTCGTCCACGTTAATGAAAATGCATATTCTAACCCTCAATTATTCTCTCTCTAGTTCTCTCTCTCACTCTCTCCCTCTCCACATTCAATTCCTCAATTTTCACCAACCGGGTGATTTCAAGTTCTAACATTTGGCATCAAGAGTCTGGTTTGATCCACCAAACACCTAGTGTGCAACATGAATTCTGTCTCTAATGAAAGAATCCCTACAAACCTATTCATCATTGATGTAAAGAATTACAACAAATGGTGAAAATAAATGAAGGTGTTGTTTGGCTACCAAGATGGTCTTTAAGTGATCAAGAACGCGGTGAATCCTCTTTCCGAAGGTTCAAAGGATGCACAACAAACAACACATAAGGAAGAAAAGAAGAAATATTTCAAGGCGCTTTTTTTACCATCAATGTATGGATGGTGACAACTTTGAATAAGTTGGTGATTACGAATCATCGAAGCAATCGCGGGAAATCATAGAGAAGACATGCGTAGGGGCTGATAAGGCAAAGGTTGTGAGGTTACAAACTCATAAACGTCAACTTAAATTGATTCAATTTAAGGAGAATGAGACCATCAACGACTTCACAACGAGAATTACTCGGTTGGTGAGCCAAGTAAAAGCATGTGGAGAAACGGTCACAGAGCAGTATGTTGTCGCGAACATCTTGCATTCTTTAACGCCAAGATTTGACAATGTGGTCGCTGCGATTGAGGAATCGAAGGATCTTGCAATGATGAGAAAATACGAGCTACAAGGCTCTCTTAAGGCACATGAGTAAAGAATAGAGGAGATAAATTATGATAAAAGGCAGAGATTGCTTTACAAGCTCGTTTGAATGAGAAGGATATGATTTTAGTCCTTAAAGATCCTACGGCTGAATAGAACTTTCAAGGTTGAATTGAAGGTTATGAAGCATATTTGTCTTGCTTTAGCGGCTAGTCGAGAAAAGTGGATAAGGCACTATAGGCTTGTGCATCTCAACTTTAGAGATCTCAATGCCTTGCAAAAGAACGAAATGGTAATGAGGCTGCCATTGATCAATATATCAGATGAAATTTGTGAAGAATGTGTGCAAGCGAAGCAACATAAGGGTAATTTTAGTAAGGATACATGTTGTAGAACCAAGCATCACCTTGAGGTGGTATATTCAAATGTGAGTAGACCGATGTAAGTTGATTCGATCAGTGGCAATAGGTATTTTGTCACATTCATGATGATAATAGTATAAAGTTGTGGACATACCTAATCAAGAGAAAGAATGAAGTATTTGAAGTGTTTAAGAAGTTCAAGTCCATGGTTGAGAGGAAAAGCGGTCACAAGTTAAAAGTGCTCAAAACGGATGGTGGAGGCGAATATGTCTCAAATGACTTTGGGAAGTTTTGTGAACAAGAAGGGATAGTAAATGAGGTTATACCACCTTATACACCACATAAAACAGTGTTGCAAAGGAAGAATCAATCGATTATGAACATGATGAAAAACATGGTGAAGGTAAGAACTTGCCGAAAGAGTTATGGGGAGAAACAGCGTCCATGACTGGATATTTATTGAATATGTGTCCAATAAAAAAGTTTGAGAAGATAACATCGGAGGAAGCATTGTTTGAATTTAAACCGAACCTGAATCACTTGAGAGTTTTCGGTTTTGGAGTGCATCGACATGCTTCGAAGAGACTTAGAAAGAAGCTAGATAATATGGGAGAATTGATGATACTTGTTAGGTGCATTCTAATGGTGGTTACAAGTTGTATGATGCATCAATCATGAGGATTGTGATCAACCGAGATGTCATGTTTTACGAGATCAATCAGCTACAACAGCATGTAACCGGTTACCAAAAAACTACAATCGGTTATAACAATCTCAAAATAGTTTATGCAAAACTAGAAAGTGTAGAAACAACCCCCGTCAAAGCCCGAATTGAATACAATGTGAGAATATCAACAAGGCTAAGAGGTTTGCCTCAAAGACTCCAAAAATGTAAGTTGTTCTAAGATATGAAGTCAATGATGATATTGATTTCATCCATTTTCACTTATGGTTGAATCTGAACCCATTAAAATGGAAAAGGGTTCGAGTGATCCAAAATGGATTTGTGCTATGAAAGAGGAGATAAAATCCATTGAAAAGAACAATACTCAGGAGTTGGTTAATCTATCGGACGGGAAGAAGCCAATTGTTATAATATAGGTGTTCAAAGTGAAGGAAAGTCCCAAGGGTGAAGTAATCAAGTAAAAGACTCAATTAGTCGAAAAAGGATTCTTGTAAAGAGAATACATGGAATTTGAAGAGGTATTTGCACTAGTTGGTAGAACTGGAACTGTTATGCTAGTTATTGGTATTGCAAATAACAACAGTTGGTCAATCTATCAAATGGATGTTAAATCGGCATTTTAAATGGACCGCTTGGAAAATCAATGAATGTAGAACAATTCCCTGATTTTGTTGTGGGAAACCAAAAGTCAAAGTTGTACAAGTTAAAGAAAGGGTTGTACAGTTTGAAGTAAGCTCCAAGAGCTTAAAATAAGAGGTCAAATGGGTTTTAAAAGAGATTGCTTCAAGAAGTGTGTATTCGAATATGGCGTGTATGTGAAGACATATATAAATGAAAGGGTGATAACATTATGTCTATACGTAGATGACTTATTGATAATGTGCAACAATGAAAAATATATTTCTAAGTTCAATTGTGAACTTATGAAAGAGTTTGAGATGACCAACCTTGATCTCATTACATACTTCCTTGGCATTAAGTTTGACACGTCCAAAAGGAGTCTGCTCATGTACCAAAGAAGGTATGCCCTTGAGATTTTGAAGAAGTTTGAAATGAAACATTTTAATACTGTGATTACTCCGTCTGAATTGAGGTTACAATTGTTAAAGAATGAGGATGAGTAAGATGTGAATCCTACTCAGTATAAGAGATTGATTGGATCCTTGCGTTACTTATGCAATACACGATTGGCTTGGCGTTTAATGTCGATATTATGAGTAGATTCATGGAGATACAAAAAGTGTACGTCTCACTTGACAACAGTCAAAAGAATTCTAACATACGTCAAAAGATCTATTGGCTGTGGAATTCTCTTTCCTACAGCGAACACGGACAAAAAAATGCAATTTGCTCGACTTTACTGATTCCTATTGGTGCGGAGATAAAAATGGTCAAAAGCCTACAACTAGATACATCTTTATGTTCAGTGAAACACCAATCTCATGGTGTCAAAAAAGAATCCGGTAGTAACACTCTGTTCTTGTGAGGCCGAGTACATTATCGCTTCGGTGTGTGTCTGCCAAGCCATGTGGTTGATGAATCTATTGAAGGAACTAGATAGCGATGAGGGTGGCGTTGTGACGCTCTTGGTAGATAGCATTTCGGCTATAAACATTGCTAAGAATCCAATTGCAAATGGGAGGAGCAAGCACATTGAAATGAGGTTTGACTACTTGAGAGAACTTGTTAGTGAAGGAAGATTGAGATTGAGATATTGTATAAGTAAAGAGCAAGTGGATGAATTGTTGACCAAGGGAGTCACAAGTGTTCAAATGGTTGAAGATGAACATGGTCATATACTTGGAGCACTTCAATTAATGTAGTGTGTTAAGTGAAAAACAATATTTCAAGTGACGTAACCGGTTACCACGGTGGTGTTACAGATTACAGCTGGGCAAAATTCACTTCTGGACTGAAAATAGAAAGTTGTCTCGAGGGTGTAACCGGTTATACATTTGCAATAATCAGTTACCACTGTTGTGTTTTTAGATTTTGTAGGTTTTGTGTAACTAATTAAATTATGTTTTTAGCTTATTTTACTTGTATTCTAATCTGACTTTATTGTGTATAAATGCCGTAGGGACATCTTCATCAATTTTAATGAAAATTCATATTCTCACCTTCAATTATTCTCTCTTTAATTATTTACCTTTTATTATATCCCTCTTCACACTCAATCCCTCCATTTTCACCAAGATGGTGATTCCAAATTCTAACACTAAAAATATTAGCAATAAAAACAGATATGAAAATAACTCTATAGACTTAAGAAACTTAACTTCACTTTCATTAACAATTATACAAAATGAGTTTCCAAGAAACTTGCTTAATATTAAAGCAAACAAACATGCACTAATGCATATAAATACACTTCAGGTGAATCTGCGTTTTTACAGTTTACAGTTTCCTGATATCACCTACAAAGAATTTATCAAAATGGTCATCAATTTACCATTTTCAAAAATAAATAAATAAATAGAAATAAGATATTAATAGTAATGAATAATTATTTGTCAAATATGGCATGCCAATGCCATTATTCTTTCTTTGTCTTTGTTCTTTTAGCCATGAATTTACGTATTCTTTCCAATGCAATTTCAAGAGTTTGTTCACTCATATTTGCAAAACACACTCTAAACCAACCTGCTTCTGAACAATGACAAGAACACCCTGGTGATATATTCAATCTCACTTCTTTCAATATCTCATTCCATACTTCTATTTCACCTTCCTTACTTGACTCCTTCAATAGTGGACTCATATTCATCCAACAGAACAACCCTGCATTCCCTTTCAAACACTCTATTCCTACACTTTTCAAACCTTCTACTATCATTTCATATCTCTTCTTCAGTCTCTCTCTATTAATCTTAATATACTTTTCTGTAAACTCCTTGTCTGATAACATGTTAGCCAAAAACTGTTGTGTTTGTGAGGATATTAAGGTAAAACTTGACATTCTTCTCGCTGTTGTTACAACCTTATCATTGTATGAATAAACTGTTCCAACTCTGAAACCGGGTAGACCAAGATCTTTTGAAAGACTATAAACAATATGAACTCTTTCTGCACCTTTGTAACTACGAGCTTCCAGAATTTCAGCTACGCTTACGAATTCAGATGAAGAGAAGACTGATCCTGAATAGATTTCGTCGGAGATGAGGTGGATGTTCTTTTCTGTCACAAAGTCAAGAATTTGTTCTAGAACTGCACGCTGAATTGTTATGCCTAAAGGGTTTGAAGGGTTTGTTATCAGCACTCCACTCACTTTCATGTTCATTGATTGAGTTTCTTTGTAAGCAGCGTGTAAAGCCTGTGGTGTAATTTGGAAATTGTTAGAGCTGTTGCAGTGAATTGGCACTATGTTTACACCAGTTCTCCACCTTAAATCTCTATCAAACCTACAAAAGTGCAACAAAAAGATAAGTATACAAATTATTCATCATCATATATATAGTTTAAGCAATTGCATGGATGCATGTTATAGATTGTTACCCTGGATAGTAAGGAGTAGGAACGAGCAAAGCATCTCCAGGATTAGCAAGAATGAAGGTTAGGAGCTCATTGGCAGCAGTTGCTCCAGCTGTAATCACTATTCTCTCTGGATCAAATTTGGCTCTACCGCCTCTTATTTGTTCCATGAAGGTTGCCATCGCAGTTCTGAAGGATATAAGTCCGTGATAGTCTTGAAATAATGCATTCTCTCTAAAACCATTATAATCCTCTGGGTGCTCTTTCAAGTACTTTTCTACCAAATCAAAGGAAACCTGGAAAAAGTACATTATTAATTAGATTTAGTTGAATAGAACTATAAATATTAACTTGAAATGAATGATAGTGTATTAATATAGACATACTTGATTCTCAGCTAATCCCATTTGTATAACACCTGAAGAGTTGGTTAAGTAATGATAAGGGTTTTCATCATAGGCTTTCCAACCAGCAAAGTAAGGAGAGTTTTCTCCATGAGTATCAGACAGTGCAATATTTGAAAGCTGAACACATTGTTGTTGTATTTCAAGACCCATTTTAGTTAAGAATTGAATTGTGTTAGTAAGAGATAGAAAGAAAGAATATGAATATAGATGGATAGAGAGAAGATAGAATGAATTGATTTGAGATAGTGAAAGAAAAGTGAGGTGTATATATAGAGTTAGAGAGTACACATGAAGGTACCGTAGTACTATACGAAAATAATGATACTTTGATGGTTTATACGGAAATAGATTGATCTGATGTTGACTGCATGCATGTGACAACTGTACAATGCCAGATCACGCGGAAAATATGTGGTTGGTGTTAAGCGGCTTCCATTTTTCTTCCAGATTACAGTATAATTAATGGATTAATTCAAGTTTATAATATACATATTATGATGTTATAAGTTTAGTGCATTATAACGTAGTTTATTTATAAAGTGGTTGGTGACTAGTATTGGAAATGAAGAAATTTTGATGTTGGTGTTGCTATGACTAAAATTACAGAAGAATAAAAGTTCAAAAAAGAAGCAGCATTTAAGATGCGAATGCGTGTGGGGATTAAGATGAGAATGATATATTGAAAAAGATTGGAAATCAGTTTAGGTTCTTCTGCCGCACGTACCCTACATACTACAATTTACAACCACCGCTTTTGATTTTGACTCTCAGAATGAAGCCATTAACAAAACAACACCAAGTTTTGGAACATCTTGACTCTCAGAATGAAGCCGTTAACAAAACAACACCAAGTTTTGGAACATCTTGACTCTCAGAATGAAGCCGTTAACAAAACAACACCAAGTTTTGGAACATCCTCACCTTTATATACTTTCAATTTCATTTCAATCAAATACTGTGATTTACATATTTCCAATTATTATGAATCATTGCTCAAATGTCATTTATTGACTGATTGATTTATAAGTAAGCAATCAGCCATTGGGAAATCTACTTCATATTAAGTGTGATTATTTACTATGGTTTCCATTATAAATAACATTCAATCATTGCTGAAATGTTATTTATATATATATTTTTAAACTCTTTATTTTCTGCAATTTATTTTTTGCTGTTAAATATTTAAATTGTTTTTAAAATTATTTTTAACTTTAATTTTAATCTGTAAAATTTTTTAATATTATGTTTTTCTAAGCCACACAATTTATCTCCTTTCTACTGTGTGGGAAGTCACATGTCTAACAAGTAGTATCAGAGTTTAACTTGTGTTTAAGGACTAATCTTTTCAAGAGAAAGATGACTTCCAACAAGAGATCTCTATTTTTTTAAAGTAGTTTTAATATTTAGCATGCTAAGTTTAGAATGTTCTTACAAAGCATAAATGATGATTTGTGGGGAATAATATTCAATGGTCCTTTTATCCCTACTCATCAAGTAAAATGATGAAGTAGTAGATAAACACAATTCTGTTTAAACCGAAGAGGAAAAGAGAAAATTTGAGATAGATTTTAAAAAGCAAGAACTTTATAATAATGTCTGTAGATGATAGTAAACTTTATTATGTTCATCGTTGTAAAATCGTCAAGGAAATGTGGATACTATTGAAATAATATATGGATTTTCTCCAAGTATTGAACAAGAGAAGATGAAGATACCGATGTTGGATCTTTTTCAAAGTTTCGAAACATTAGAAATTATGTTGGAAATTGTATCACTGACAAATGTCTAAGAATTAAAAATTAGAAGTTTAATCCAATCCTTAAATCAAAAGATAGGAGAGAAAATGAGATATCTCTCTAGGGAGCGAGAACTGGTGCAATATCTTCAACTGCAGCACTGACATTGCAATGTGCTACTATCCGACTTGACTTAGACACTAACATTGTCAGTTGAGATTACCAAAGATTAGAGCATGAGACAAAACAATTTTGATGGTGTTGTAGGTTGGATTTAGTGGATTTTTGGGGAAATTTGTGAGAATTAGAAGATGATTCTCGGAGACAACGTCATTGCTTTTGTGGTGAAACAGGAGATCGGTGTAATAAGGCATTGAGTTCGTCCGCTGAATTGACATGGATCTCTTATATAATGGAGGGGGTGTACTGTAAAAGTTTAACACTCCAATGCATAAGCCAATGATGCCGGAGAAGTGTAATTGTTGCAAAAGGGAATGAATAATACATGTTGTATCCCATGGCAGAGCTTATATACCATGGTTAGTTAAAACGCTCTCTCTTGGCCCGACATGAGATGCGGGAGACCGTCTGATTGAATCTGACGCCTAATGATCGACAAACAGGCCATATCTAATATGTGGCTTTCTGATAAAAATATACTTTTTTACATTCCACCTTAAAGATATTGTGATTGAGCCAACAACCCTATAAGACAAATATATTCAAGAATGAGTAATAATTTGAATCAATGTTCATATTCAATTATAAAAGTTCCACATGTTAAAGCATTAATAAAATAATAAATCATTAATAATTTTGGGGAAGAAAACTAATAAATTTAAATATAAAAAGATCAAAAATATAAATGAATCAAACTCAATATAAAACTAAGTAAATTTAACTAAATTCATAAATGTCCCTTTTTTATTATCAAAAATAAATAAAGTAGACATAGAAGTAAAATTATTTCATATCCTCTATCAATACAAATTAATCTAAATAATTTAATAAGATTATACATACTATTAACTTATTCAAAATTTGGTTAGAAATAGTTGTAGTTTGTTACAATTCTATTTATAGTTACTTAGGAAGTTTACTTGTATCCTAATTAACTACTACATAGCTAATTTCTCTTATATATAAACAACACCATCTCTTAATCAATACATGTGAATTCACTCCATTTTCATCTTCTTTTTCATTTTCAATATCATGAGCTTGTATGAGATTTCATATCATAATATGGTATCAGTCGCATTCGATTCTTGATTAGTTTTCTTCAATGATTCATCTTCTTCTCCATCTTGTGCTTTCATTTGTACAAATCATCATCATGCTACCATATATTTCTCTTGTTGCAAATCGAATGATATTGATTTTGTTTATTATGTTCATCCTAGTGAAGGTATAAATTCTGTCAATATTACACCTAAATTGAATGGTTTCAACTATATTTCATGGTCAAAATCGATGCAACATGCTCTTGGTACTAAGAACAAACTAGATTTCATTGATGTTTTCATTTATGTTCCTGATCTGGTTGAACTCAATCAATGTGCATGAAAACATTGTAATTTCTTAGTGCACGCTTGAATTTTGAATTCGCTTAAGGTTCTAGTTGCTTAAACAATCCCAAATAATTATATTGATGTATAAAATGATCTCAAAGAATGTTTTTCTAAAGCTGATTGTACACGCATCTCTACTCTTTGTGTTGAAATCAACATTCTCAAAAAAGGATCCAAATTGGTTCTTGATTACTTCACTGAAATTCCTGGATTATGGGAAGAACTAAATTCTTATAGGCCAATTCTAACATGTACATCTATTCATCAATGCAAATGCGAGGTAATGCAGTCTGCACGTGATTTTCATCTTGAAGATCAAATCATTCAGTTTTTGACAGATTTGAATGATAAATTTTCAGTAGTTTAAACTCAAGTTTTGTTAATGGATCATTTTCCATCCATAAATAAAATTTACTATATGGTTACTCAATAAGAAATTAACAATCTCTCTATACTTTTAAAACATGAAATTAATGTTGTTCTTGAAGAAGCCAATACATTGATCAATACTTATGATTCAAGAAAATTACTAGATTATAGATCCCCTGCTCTATTTAGCATCTTTAATAATTTCAAGAATGACAATAGATTGTGTACTTATTGTAATTGCCCATGTCATACCATAGATGTATTCTATCGTAGGCATGGATTACTCCAAACTTTGGCAAGAAGCAAGTATTTGCCAATGCATCTAATGTTTCAATTAGTGATTCACAACATTCAATTAACAATAGTGAATAAGGTGTATCAAGAAACCAAGTTACCATTATAACACAAGAACGGGATTCTCAGTTGATTAACTTGTTACAACAAAAAAAATTTGATGCCTCATACAGAAATATCCAACCTTACTCCTAGTTCCAATCACATTTCTACACCCTTTAATCACTTTGATCATTCATCAAATTAGAGTCCAGGTAATTAACAAGTTTCAATTGTTTCATGTTTCATTCATACCAAACCTAAATTTTGGATTATTGACTTGGGTGCTAATGACCATGTTTGTTCATCCTTGCACTGGCTCAGTTCTTATTACAAAATTAGACAAGTCAATGTCTTTTTAACTAATGGATATGTTGTTGTAGCTAAGCATTGTTCAAACTGTAGTAAATCGGAAAGAAGCAAAAATTTAGATTTGGAAGGATTCCCTCCGGGATTTATCGTCTCCACGGGGATCGGTGCAAGGGAAAGAACGCCATTAGACGGTCTCTACATTTCTAAGCTTGTTTTGATTAAATTGGTTAAAAGATCAAAGGGACCATAAATAAAGGCTGGAAATATAAAGTAAAGACTGAAAATATAAACAGAGCCTTGTTGGGGTTGGATCTCATCAACTGATAACACATGCATTCTTCTGATCATATTATACACAACTCAAACATTTGTCTAATACCATCATATATCACCCACAACAGATGTTATGTCTAACGCAAAGTCGAGAGGTCAACCGTATTGTCTCATCGGTGATGTCTCACGCAACAAAACCAACACATGGCATTAAGAACTGGTACTCACGTGAATGTTAAACCTAAATCTATGTCTAGAGTTTAAACCTAATAAATATTCAAATAACATCCATATCAAATTAATGATTTGATTCATATATAACACCATGACCAGAATACATACATATGATTAACCCTTTTTACATGTATTCAACTAATTTTACAAATGTATTTGAATATAGTTCTTCATCTCTATTATCACGCATCCTCACAATACCACTTATGTCAAAAATGTTATCGTGGTCTTTACCGTGTTAATCCTACTCATGCTACTAATCAACACAGTAAAATAAAAGTGATGCAAATGAATATCAACTCACAAGACTATGTCAAAAGTT